GTCTTGACATGCAACCCAAATGGCATGTAATGGTAAGATCCTATTTGTATATTTATGTATCTGAAATAAAATTGTTCTATTGTATTTAATAAGTTTTTTATTTCATAAAAAAAGGTAGTCCGCAATATACTTATTCTTTTTTCGAACTGTAGAAAAGGATTTCTGACAATATCCATGTAAAAATAATAATAAATGGCTTTATATTTTTACTTACTCTTCATGTATTTTAAAAAAAAAGATAATATATAATAAAATACTAACAAAAATGTTCTTCCACTTTGAGCTACCTACTATTTTAATCTATAAGAAAATATATAAAATGACTTATTGAATGCCCTGTATAATATTGAATATGTTTTCTTTAAATTTACCTCTGATTCCGAAGACCCATATGTTATTGCTTTGGTCATTAAATTATTTTTACTAAAAATATATGTAAACCCTCCCGAAACACTACGTCTATGTGCGACGTACGATTCCCCTTTCCCCGTCTGGTATAACGTGCGGACATAAGGTGTATTGGGTATACAGTGTGAAGGGCGAGTCTATCTTAGATAATATGATGTCTATGATTCCAACTTACGTTCTAGATGTCTCGAGTATAGCTGTCAGATTCACTCGGGACCTAAAGAGGTAGCGTAACGTGAGTGAAATTAGTAAAAGTATGGTTAAGAAATGCTTTTATTTTGATATTTCTATGTTGAAATTAAAAAAATGAGTTTTTAAAATAATCCAGAACATTTGTCTACAATTTTAAATATAATGTGTGAACACAAACATTTTGCAAGTGGCATATTTTTAATTATTACTCATTGTATTTTTTTTGTAGGAGTTATGTTTTATTTTAACCACATTATAAAAAAATTAGTAAACTCAAAAACAATATTTTTTCCTAATGTTACAGAAGAAAACCAAATACAGCATACATTAATTTATTTAGGAAATATAATTTATTATTTTATTTTATACTGAATATTTACAGAATAGGCTCAATTTATAATACAAACAGTTATACAATAATATAAATAAGAAATGTTTAAAATTCAGAAATATAAAATGCCAGGTACTCAAAAATGAGGACAAAATTACTTCAAGATATAGATGTAATACCAATCATATAAAACATTGACTACTGGAACACTGACAATAAAGCATTAAAATATCTATTTATGTACAATAACTATTATTTCTTATTTTATTAATTCTAAAAACTCAATAAGCCATGCCTCTGGTATATTTTCTAAATTAAACCTTCAAAACAAACCATGCTGCACCATGCGTTATCGTAGTTTTCGTAGCCGTTACTCGAGAGATGATTAGAATCAAATTTTAAACGGTACCGAAAAGGGTACCCGATGTGCCTGTCGAACGGTAGGTAGAGAAACGGGACGTAACGTAACAACTAATCAGAATCGCACTGCTGGCCTAAAGCGAGAACTATTTCAGAATTGATATGTTTGCGCTTGCGCTTTTTTGCAAGTAATTTTGTTTTTGAGATCCTGGTCACGTTTTGTGTTGGAATTTTTACTAGGAATTTTCGAATGACTAATGAGAATGGAGCAGTTGATTAATTGATGTTGAGTCATAAGATTTTTTACGAATTTATTATTTAATTTATCTACGTTTTACTATATTATGTGGCCTCTTTCTTACCTAGACACTGACCCTGTGTAATTTCTTCTTTTTTATTTATAATTTACTCTTTGACGTTAAACTGTTCTGGCAGTGTTTTGGTTTCGAATACAATGGAATGGTTACAGAACTGTTCAGAATTAAGGACCATTGCGCAATAGTTCTGCGCATGGTTCTGGAACAATTCTAGAACGTGAACCAAAACAAACCTAGTAGCAAGTCTCTGGCAGCAACTTGTAACTTAATTGGAGCATATTTATTAAATCTTGTACACTTTTTTTGATCGTATAAACTCACACATCAGTGCAGCTTGTTTAAAAAAAAACACTTATAAGCAACCATCAATAACAATAAACTTATTTGTTGACCATTAATTTTTTCATCTGTACTCCTTCTGATAGTTTTGTCATTTTTCATTTCATATAAACTCGAATTTTCACCACATGGTGCGTTTGATTTGATCATCGGAGATCTCCGAGCGCTTCAAAAGTGTTTGAATTGACACTCCGAGAGATCCCTAAAGTGTTTGTTTCGCTTTGGAGCGAGAACATAGAGCGAGCTCGATGTTCTCAGAGCAGAAAGATCGAGAAGAGGGAGAAATTTGTCTTTGTCTCTACCTATCTCTTTTTAATTAACTTACAAACAAATTTGAATCTCAAAATTAAAGACCAGACAAGAAGTCAACAAATAACTTAGCCGATTTTGTCTTATAGCTAAAATTATTCATCATAAAAAAACACAAAATGTGTGTTTGGAAAATACATTTTTTCTGTCCAGATCTAATCACCAGTCATGGAGTATGAGAGCGAAGCGGGCATTTGTGGTAAATGTTGCATTTCAGGGCCATTACCCCTTATTATTAAAAGTTTTTCCATTTTCTTTACTTTTTGCTCACTATTTTAACATAAAAACCAGAAACAAGAATCACAAAAAAGCGAGGTTATGTTTTTTACTCTGTTTTATTTGATTTGATTCAATGCTCTATTGTGACGTCATCACTTCTCGGTCTCCTCGACGCTCGCTCGATCGAGTTTCAAATCAAACGCCCCTATAGAAGAACTATTTTTATGATTGCACTTTTTTGACAGATAAAAAGATTGCCGCAATTTTCCGCCGTAACGACACTACCGAACCTAGCGGATTTTGGCTAGGAAGTACGATCGGTTTTGGTATGTTTTTTTCAGGGAGTTGAAACACCTTTATAGTACGCCGTGATCTGTACACAGAAAGGAAAGTAAAAAATGGCCGTGACCGTATTTTCCTAGGCAACCTATTTGCGGTATATTTGAATACATATTTTATTTAATAAAAAAAAACTTTTATCCATTAAACAGATGGGTGAAGGTCGACACTACTTACGGATCCCGGATTAATAGGTTATAATCTCGGGAAAAGTACGGTTCCCGTGGGATATATTTGTTTTTGTCTTTCACATAGCAAGGAATCAGACATGATATTTTGCATAGTGGTAGTGAAACATGAAAATTTTAAATACGGCTACTGAGAATAAATAAATAATGACGTATTTCAGGGTTTTTGGATTTTCACATTTTAAGGGGAGGAAATGGGGGTTGAACATTTGTATGAAAGTATCGATTTTTTTAAAGGCAAGAACTTGAAAATTGAAATTATAGCTACTCATCACAAATAAATATAGGCGTGTTTCAGGGTTTTTGAATTTTCATATTTTAAGAGAGGAAAGGGAAGAAATGGAGAAAGGGGGGAAATGTGGAAAGGGGAGTAAAAGTTTGTATGGGGGTATCGAATTTTGTTACGTTACCGATGGTACGTAATATTTTAGTTTGGCAATCCTATCAATATTTTTTGTAATTTTCTTTGTGTATCCATATCGACCATGTTTTGATTAACGTTCGTATTGAAATAAATAAAATAATTTTGAACTGTCACGAATCATTTTGAACAAAAACACGAATTCTCTTATACAGTCCATTGCACGATCGTCCTTATTTTCCTGTACTGTTTTTGGAAAATTGATTTTTCAAATACAGGGAGTGTCGTAGCTACCCGTTTTTATTTATTTTTGGAGCTTCTTAATTGATCAGCCGTATTATTGAAAATGATTACTCCCTTTTAATTATTTTTGTTGTTTTCGAGACATATTTTATTACCAACTGTAAATTTACCAACAGCCTTATTTTTATTTAATACCTGCAAGGATCCAAATTACCAATACATATTTTTGAAAATACCAAATTATACAAACAAGGCAATAAGGGGGTAGCGACATAGTCTTGCAACTTGGACGCTATTTTTATTCGAAGAAGTACTCGCCAAGCCTGCCAATTTATGAAGAAATGTATAGGTGGGTTTTTTAAATATTATTTTTATTGTGTTTGACATAAAATATTTAAATGTAATCCATTATTCATGATTTTACGTAAAGTAGATAGAATACACCATATGTCGCCACCCTTAGATATACCAAAACCTGCCCACTGGTAATTCATTTGTTTGGAATGCCTAATTTTGTGATATGACATATGACAAGTGGAGAGGTACTATGAGTCATATTTTGATTAATTTTAGGTTAATTATTTTATATTTAAAGATTGACGCAATGAAAATGTTTTTATATCATTAAAATCACGTTATTTTAAAAAAATTTCATTTATTATCCCCAAAACTGATTAGCTCGAGTTTAACATTTGTCGTAAAATGACAATGCAAAATTGCAGACACTTCTAGTACCGTCATTGTATCTCTTTATTCTATATCTATGATTTGAAAGATTCGCAGGCTCCGCCCTACTTTGTGACGTCACTGCGTGCATAGCGCAAAATAAGATGATTTTAGTGATTTTAAGTAAGTCATTGTTCGTTTTATCGATCTGTTAACATGTTTTTAGCTAGAGGCTTTACGAAAAGCATCTCACTCCCGCGGGCTCACTCAGAAAAATGAGCCAAACCGATGCGATTAGCCAGAGCGCAGTGGCGTATCAAAAAAAAGAGATCAACACGTATGAAAACAATAAAATTATATTAAAATTGAATTATTTTTATGTTATTTATTTTAAAATAATGTTTTTATGAAATGTAACTGGGTGTTCATTGCACAAATGAACCAATGAAGAAACCGCCCCTGATTGTATGTAATTTATCTATTTATGTTAATAAATTTTATATATTGTTTTTTTTTCACACAATTTCCACCTTTAACATCCTGTATTCATCTTTTATTATCAAATCGTAATATTTTGAAGTCAAAAATTCACTTTATTTCTATGTAAAATTACTTAAAAACATCCCTGTACATGCTACGTGTGTATATTCTCAGAATATCTATGCTATTTGGGATTGTATAGTAGGATGAGTGGAAAAAATAAAACAGTAAAATTTTACTTATTATTACATCAACTTTTTAAATGTCATTAAGACAATATTATTAATTTGTTACAGTAGTTAAAAAAAAATTTATAAATATCATTCATTCATTATATCACTTTAAACTAACATTATACTTTCATGTAGGTATTGTAGTTAAACTATTTCTAATGTCCATGAAAAACAACATTTAATTTCATCACCATTTTGTTGCCTTACACTCTACAGTAAACAATCGCATATTTAAAACCTTAGTAGAACTATTTTTTTAAGTACTTTAAATTGGATCTTCTTTTGTATTGCAAATAAGTGGAGAACAATCTTGTTTCTTCACTGCTTCTAAAATTTTTATCGAAATGGTTCCATCATCTTTTTCTTTTCTAAAAATGAATAAAATTTCTAAGTTATTTATTATAACTAGTTTATATAGACAATATGCTTATTTGGAAAGAAACATTAAGAAACTATTTACACGTTTATTTACACTATTTACATTGGTTGTTACATTTTTTAAAAAAAGTGGTATAAAAAGTCGGTACAAAACACTTCTCACATCTCTAATCTTTGGCGGTTGACAAGGCGGGGCAGGGGAGCACTAACTGTCAGTAGTACGAAGATGATATATTTACATTTGGTGGCGCTATATTGGCTTGAACAATGCCTGTACCCACAACCATGCCATTAAAACCGAACGGAATCGCCTCAAAGCCCTGATCAGGCTCTACATAATAGATTCCTATTCCTAAATAGACAATGGTCTCAAATTCCTAGACTCATACTCTCAACTTGACTATCGTTTAAACTAGGAAGAAGTGGTTTGGATCGTTGAATTTCTCTTTAAAAGCTCTACACGCTCGTTTTTACTAATTCATGATGTGTTGTCTGTAGGGCAAGATAATAGGATTTTCAGATTGAATTTTAACAGAAAAATGTTTTTGTTAAATAACTTGACAATCGTTTAAACTAGGAAGAAATGATTTGCATCGTTAAATTTCTCTTTAAAATCTCTACAAAGTGGTTGTTACTAATTTATACTGTTTTCTGTAGGGCAAGATAATAGGATTTTCAGATTGAATTTAAACAGAAAACTGTTTTTACTAAATAACTTGACTATCGTTTAAACTAGAAACAAGTGGTTTGCATCGTTGAATTTCTCTTTAAAAGCTCTATAAACTGGTTTTTACTAATTCATGCTGTGGTGTCTGTTAGACAAGATAATAGAATTTTCAGTCCTGGGCAAACTCCTTCCACTTCTGCTCAAGGACATAATCTGAAAATTTTACAAAGAAAGTAACATCACTCTTCAATCCCAATGTGGTTTCAGATCTCATCACTCCACTCGGGATACAATCTCCTCACTTGATACAACTTCAGTTCATTCTTTCCAAATCTCAGCTTTTCTTATCGATGTTCAAAGATTTTTTGACCTAGTCTGGTATGCTGGACTAGTCAAAACGATCACTATCTTTAAACTCATAGACTCATACCTCACTGAATAATCACAGTGAAAGTAGGCAACGCTTTGTCAGACCTATTCTCTTTACATGCAGGAGTACCACAGGGTTTTGGCCTGGCCCCTCTCCTATAATTCATTTACACTCGGGATCTTCCACTACCTAAACTACCTATCGTCAAAATGTCTTCTATATATCGATAATACTTGATTGATAAACTTTACCAGTGCTCCTCGTGTATATTTTTTTATTATGTTGAAAGTTAACTACTTTATAAGTAAGATTTATCTTTAAATACTCACCTACTTATAAAATTATGTAGCAAATTTTTTATATGGTCTTCAGCATTTTTAGAAAACATAGAGTTAACCATTAACTCACAAAAAACTTTTTGTTCGCATCCTTCTTGTTCTAATTTTGCTAGTGAGTTTATGGAAGGTGTTATTTTTTTAACAATTTCTTCTACTTCAAATTTTCTATTATTACGGTTTCTCCTAAAAAAAAAAAAAAAATGATACCTAGCTTTAAATTTAGCACGAAAAATTAGTATAGTTATTCTTTTTATTATTATTTATTACTATTTTATTATTTTTTCATTAAAGTTATTATTTTGTTTTAGTAAGGAGGTAAAAGAAAAATGTCCTTTATTTCTCTTAAAGTTATTTTATAACGACCAGTTTCGAATCAGTTACTTCATCTTCTGGTACATCTAATTGGATAATTATGGAGTCAGTGTATTGCAAAGTAAAAAGTTTTTTATAGAAAGAAATTGAAAATTGACAAAACAAATATACTAAGGGTAAAAAAATCATTTAATAACTTGACTCACCATAATATATCCATTACGGGTTACCTACATGGGTAAACATTAAAATGTAAGAGTGCCACTATGACTAAACTATTATTAAAATTGTTTGGCGCCCTTGTACAAATTTAAAATAACGGTTACCTCTATAAACACTTAAGACCGACCCGTGGCAACCTAATAGGATTGTAGGTTTTTATTTCACAGTATAATCATCAAATTTCTAGAGGTGTTCGACGCCCAGACAGAGAACGCGCTACGTGTGACTAAGATAGCTATTGTACAGTCTGCTAAACAAGTTATTTTAAATAGTTTTTAATATTTTTAGGTAATTAAATTTTAAAAGTGTGGAATAGTTTAGGGATTAAATTGGTCTGATTGGACTTTCTTAGAACGTTTTTAAAAGCAGCTAAAGATAGTATGTAGAATTGAAAATAATTATTATGCCATAAAAGGTGTTTTGGAATTCCTTCAACCTTTTGAAATTGAGTCAGAAAATATAAATTTTATAGGATAGCGGAAAATACCTATAATTTTTTTGTAGGCCTTTGTAAATCGTGGAAATAGTTTATATTTTATTTCTACCTTATTAAAGAAAATGGTACCTATTATTAATAACGGTTGTTTCTGAAACATTACTAAAATTTTCGAAATTTTGTTTTTCTACAAAATAATAAACTATACTATTTAGAAAAAAATTTATTTCTCTTATAATTTTATAAAAAATAACAGGGGAATATTTAAATTTCTTGATCTATTAAACAAAACGATAAATTATCTCGACGAATGACACCATGTTCTAGTACGGAAGCTAGCTTTACATTTTTGTTGGTGGTTTCATGGGTTTCATATCAATTTTTTGTAATTGTAGTTTACACGTACATATACCTCTTAACACTTGTTTGCTTTATTAAAAAAGTGTGTTGTTGTGATTTACGTCGAAATAAGTCAAAAACAACTTGAAACCCCATATAAAATCAAAAAGGAGAAACGGAAAAAAATTGAGCATGTAAATGAACACAACTCAGAAACAAAAATAGCTATCTAATAATAAAAAAATAAAATTTGATTCTTGTGCATCTTCGTTGTAAAAATAGATAATACTTTTTTGATCTGAGGCACAGATATAATTTTAATGGTCTTCCGAAAAACTTTCTTCAGTTTCCATATCAGATTCAAAATCAGTCTCACTGTCACTGTTTAAGTTAATTATAAATCTATCAGTTGCCTCATCCAAAGTAACTTCTCTGTCATAAAATTTTGATTCCCACATTTTAGCATTATTACAACGAGATTGCCACTCCTCTTTAGAAAACGTATCAAAAAAGTCTTCACACAACAGTTGTACGTCTTGCCTCTTAAATGTAGTGTTGTTACTAGCTACATATTGTTTCAATGATGCCCACACTAATTCGATCGGATTAAGATCGGGATGATACGGTGGCAAACGCAAACAACTAAAACCATGTTCATTTATCATTTCTTCAATTGCATACCTCTTAAATCGTGACTTTTGCAATAGCACTAAACTGTATAATTGCGTTTTGAGCATATCCTCTTCGTAAGCAATATTATGATTCCTTAACCAATCCTGCATGTCAGCTTTTTTAGAAGTTGACGTTGGTGCTTTATTTACCTGGACATTATGGTAAGGAGCATTATCAACAATAATGACGCTTCTTGGAGGGAGGTTCGGAAACAGCTTTTCTTTCAACCATTTAGAAAAATTATTAAAATTCATTTCATCGTGGTAGTCTCCACTTTTGGTTCCAGATTTGAAAATTAACCGGACTGTTAATCACGCGGCCTCTTAATTTGCTATTAAACTCCATACTTAGGTTCTATTAAACTGTAATGAGCAAAAAACAAACGAAAATAAAAGAAATGTTTTAGCGAAATTTACATCTGACATTTACGTCTGAATAAAATAGTGAAATACTTGATGCGCATAGTGTACTTTCATTGCGTAAATCCGTCGGCCCCGCCAACCGATGCCTCTCAGTAGTGCTTTCTCTGTCTAGCCGTCGAAAGCCTCTAGAAATTTGATGAACTGTAAATTGTGTCCAATCTTTATCCTCGCAAACTATTTTAGTATCATCAGCAAAACTAATTGGTCATAAAATATTTTTTTTTTACAACCCACTATGTAGGGTAAAGGCACCAGTAATTGACACTTCCTATTTATAATGCCTGAAATAAGGATATTTAAGTAAAATCTTTACCAAACGTGTAATTTATGTGTACAATAATATTTCTTCTAACCATATATGTCTAGAAATCATACTAAAGGATAGCGCCACTATAGGCGGGAATAGTTTAATCTTTCAGTGTAACGGCAGGTTTCGATAGGTTATGTTTTCTTGTCAGATGTGTTAAGAAACGCTGAGCAGTATTTTCGATATAATTGACAAAAATTAAGGCATCTTATAGTTTTTACGGTACAGCAAAGAAGCAGAGGTAAGCAAGTATGCATATTTTATAAGCATTTTGTTGATTTTAGTGTTTTTTTTGTGTAAAGGGGGGATGGCAATTACTGGATCTGTTCTTTTTAAATGTTCCAGTAATGGTCAAGAGTGGCAATTACTGGTGAATTTTAAAATAATTCAGTTAGCCCCGAATATAATGAGATAATAAAGTCTAGAATTCCAAATTTTTATGTTTTAAATATGAGCAAGATATTTTAAAAAAATCCAGTAATTGCCACTGCTTCTTTAAAGTGGCAATTATTGGTTAGCTATAGTGGCAATTTTTTATTTAGAATACTAAAATGGAAAAAGCAAAGAAACCTTTATCCAATATTCACAAGAAAGCATGGAGGCTGCTATTGCAGCTTGTAGAAATGGAATGCCATACTTTACTGCGGCGAAAATGTATGAAGTACCAAGAAATACGTTAAAAAATAAAATTCTGGGAAAAACACCACTGGAACGAAAAATGGGTTCTTTAAGTGTTTTAACTAAAACAGAGGAAAATGCCATTTTAAAATGGATAACCACAATTTCAAGCAAGGGATTTTCCCTCATAAAGATGATCTATTATCAACAGTTCAAATAATAATGAAGAACACCCAACGTAAGAATCCATTCGTAAATGACAAACCTGGTAGGAAATGGTTAGAATCATTTTTTAAGAGAAATCCCATTGTAGCTGTCAGAACTCCTGAAACTTTGACCACCACAAGAGCTTCAGTAACAGAACACCAAATTAGAAAATGGTTTGCAGAAGTTGATACCTTTTTCAAAACTGAAAATCTAGAAGACACTTTAAATTGTCCAGAACAGATTTTCAATATAAATTTTATAGGATAGCGGAAAATACCTATAATTTTTTTGTAGGCCTTTGTAAATCGTGGAAATAGTTTATATTTTATTTCTACCTTATTAAGGAAAATGGTACCTATTATTAATAACGGTTGTTTCTGAAACATTACTAAAATTTTCGAAATTTTGTTTTTCTACAAAATAATAAACTATACTATTTAGAAAAAAATGTCTCTTATAATTTTATAAAAAATAACAGGGGAATATTTACATTTCTTGATCTATTAAACAAAACGATAAATTATCTCGACGAATGACACCATGTTCTAGTACGGAAGCTAGCTTTACATTTTTGTTGGTGGTTTCATGGGTTTCATATCAATTTTTTGTAATTGTAGTTTACACGTACATATACCTCTTAACACTTGTTTGCTTTATTAAAAAAGTGTGTTGTTGTGATTTACGTCGAAATAAGTCAAAAACAACTTGAAACCCCATATAAAATCAAAAAGGAGAAACGGAAAAAAATTGAGCCTGTAAATGAACACAACTCAGAAACAAAAATAGCTATCTAATAATAAAAAAATAAAATTTGATTCTTGTGCAGCTTCATCTATATCATTAACTGTTTTTGGTTTTTTAATGGTTTTTCTTGGTGATGAAAATTCCGATATCTCACGGTTATCGATTCTTTTTTTCTCTCCAGAAATGCGGACGACAGTGTTTTTAGATACTCCTGTGGCTGCAGCAACACGATCATTTACATTTTTAAATGGTATTGAAGGTGAATTAAAGTTTCCTTCTCTTCTCATAAACTCTATAACATTGGCTATTATTTCGCGAGATTGACTGTTAATCACGCGGCCTCTTAATTTGCTATTAAACTCCATACTTAGGTTCTATTAAACTGTAATGAGCAAAAAACAAACGAAAATAAAAGAAATGTTTTAGCGAAATTTACATCTGACATTTACGTCTGAATGAAATAGTGAAATACTTGATGCGCAGAGTGTACTTTCATTGCGTAAATCCGTCGGGATGCCTGTCAATAGTGCTTTCTCTGTCTAGCCGTCGAATGCCTCTAGAAATTTGATGAACTGTATGTATTAAAATATTTGTTCTAAAAAACGATTTATCTCTCATTGTCAATTGTCGCTAGGATAATTTGTGTACCAATTTGTAGTATGTTTGTTATTCGTTGGCTAATTGATTATTTAGTTGAAGCCAGCGAATTCTGTTATAGTTTGGCGCCCAACGTGGGGCAACTGTTGCTGTTAAAAATTCACTTTTAACAAGAAAAAGTAATCAACCTGTATTAAGAGTTGCTTTGGTAACTGTCATAACGACATTTTTTTGTGAGAGCAGTATCATGTAAAAAAAACCACTCCCAACACCAACACATTTGAAAAGAAACTTTAGAAATTTACTTCTTTTGTGATTCAGTTGCCTTGTAGTACATAAAAGCAAATATTTTATAAATAGTTTTTTTTTTAGAAAATTAGAAAAATCTTGTATGGAACCGCAATTATTTAATTGTCACACAAAATGTACCATGTCATTTGTATAAAGTAATTGGGAAATAATTAAGGAATTTAATTTTTTATATGTATACTTACGTATCATTTACTGTGGAAACAGTAATAATAGTTGGAGTCAAAGCACTTATAAACAAACCAATAGGGATAATGGTTGCCAACACTTTAAGAATTTTTTTGAATGGACTTATTCCACCTCCATAATGTCCCACATCATGATGGTATTCTCTTGGTGGTTCATGTTCATGTTCATGATGCTCATAATTGTTATAAAAAGGTTGTTCTGGATAACTTTCATAAAAAGATTTTTGCTTATTTTCGAAACCAGTAAAGCCAAATATTTTTTTCCAAATATTTTCTTGAGGTTTGATGTTAGGTTTGTATGGTGTTTGGTTGTGAGTAAAATCTATTGAATTGCTGACTGGTGGAAAATTCTCGTTGTTATTTTCAAATATATACGGTCTTTCTACTGTAACTGGAAATTTTATTTGATTTTTCGGTGATTGTTCGTAGATATTTTCTTGTCTATTCGGATTTCCTTTCCACTCATTTACCATCCAGTTGCTATTGAAAGATGCAGTTCGAGATTTTTCATTTTCATCATATCCGTATCCAAATTGTGGGCTTGGTTTGAAATCGTCGAATCTAATAGGCTTTGTTTCATTCAACAGCTTACTTGAATCATTTTTAGGCACTAAACTTCTTTCTACAATTTGCGATACATTTAAATTACGATTTTCTTCCGAATTTCGTTGTTTCGATAAAGTTTCATTGAAAACAACCGGTACATTCGCAAAAACAAAATGTTGTTTTATTATTAGAAAACTAGACAAAAAGAATATACACATAAATAACATTATTGTATCGTTGATGTCATTGCAATAAAAATATTATTTTAAATGTTACATTATTTATAAATTCTTTAAACAATAGGATTTTAAATTTCATGACAAATAGGAAAATTCTGTTGTGTTCACAACGGCATGTCAAAGAAAGTTAAATAGAAAATATGTATTGTATGCTCTAAAAAATTTAGATGTAAACTAATACAATTATGTGTACATGGTAAGTATATTTTATTGTTTTAAGAATATCTCTGGGCGACGGACTGATTAATAACAGCTTAATAGCGAATTATACACAGGGCGACACACATAGAAGTTCCACCTCGTGTTAACTTTGCTTATTTTTCCAATTATTGTTTAAACGTATCCTCGATTTAATATTTGTAAGTGAGTTTGAATCTGTAACATGTGTCAAATCAGATTTTTTTCTATCCAAGGTGGATCCTTTGCATCCTCCGCTGAAATACAAGTTTTTAATAAAGTAACACCAATTCTCCGCGACAACAAAATTGTCTTTAGATATCAATTTCACAAAGCTAACTTTATAGCTCTAAATAGTTACTTTAATAGGATTGACTGGTCTTTTATCAGCGATTTAGTTAATATTCACAAAATAGTTGAACGATTCAATCGTATCATATGTGAAGGTATTAATCTTTACGTGCCTAAAAGAAAAATTCGTGGTAATAAGTATCCCATCTGGTTCGACTTTACGCTTCGCAAACTTATGACCGAAAAAAATAAGCTTTATAAAACGTTTAAAAGAACTCGTCGGGATTCTGATTACATTTTGTATTCCAGACTACATGGATATGATGGTAGAATTTAATTTCAATTCTCTAATAAATGTACCTACACGTATTAAAACATGTTTGGATCATGTATTTTTAAAAAGCAAAATATCTAATTTAGAAGAAAATATATTAGCATTAACATTTGATGCTATGATAACAGATCACAAAGCAACTATAGTAGGATTAAAATTAAATTTTAACTGTAAATTTAAAAATGAACACAAAAATTTGGTTGAATATATAAACTACAGTGCCCTAAAACAAAAATTAAATAGTCATGATTGGACGCCCTTCTATAACTTAAATGACGTAAATATAAAAACAAATCACCTAGTTAAACTACTTAGTCAAAGTGTCGCACTTTGTACAAATGTCAAAAAAATTAAACGGACCCAGATTAAAAGAAAAGATTGGATAACGCAAGGTATTATAAATTCAATTGCCACTAAAAACATGTTATTTAACGAATATAGGAATAATCAGAACCCCACTACCCTTTTAAAATATACTAAATATCGAAATAATCTAAATCGAATTATTAGAGAAACTAAAAAAAAATTTTATAATAATAAAATAAATAAAAATAAATATAATAATAAAAATTTGTGGAAAATAGTTAGGGAAATTGATGTACCAGTGAAAAAAGATAGTATAAAAAAAATACTTACTGAAAGTAATGAAATTCTTATAAGCGAGGAAGAACAGGCCGAAAGCTTTAATATGTATTTCTCCAAAGTAGGAGAGAAACTGGCCTCAAAAAAAAAATAATTCCTCCACTATCGCCCAAACCTGGAAAAAATAGCACAATACAGTCATTCTTTTTAGAACCTGTAGATATAAATGAAGTAAAAGAAATTATAAAAACGTTAAAAATAAACAAAACACCAGGGTATGATAAACTAAAAAGTGAGATATTTAAGGAAATAGTTCATGAGATTGCAAATCCCCTTAGCCATTTAATTAATAAAATTTTTGAAACAGGAATTTTTCCCACTGACTTTAAAAAATCAGTGGTTATCCCAGTTCATAAAAAAGGACCCAAAAATAAAATGAGTAACTACAGACCTATTTCCTTAATTACCACTTTATCAAAAATCGTGGAAAAAGCTTTGAAAAATAGACTAACTAAATACATTGATAAATATAATATTATAAGTTCAAAGCAGTATGGTTTCCAAAACGGCTTATCTACCACTGATGCTATGTGTCATCTAACAGATATATTGTACAGTAATATAGATAAAAGCGTTCCCACAATGTGTATTTTTCTTGACCTGGCAAAGGCTTTCGACACTGTATGTCATATACAGCTGTTGGAGGTCTTAGAGGAAGTGGGTGTCAGAGGTAAATCTTTGGACCTTTTCTCTAGTTATTTAAGTGAAAGGGTTCAAGCAGTAAAAATAAATAAATATGTAAGCTTTTATAAACCTATAAAATATGGTGTCCCACAAGGTACTATACTCGGGCCAATTTTATTTCTCCTATATATTAATAAATTATTAGTTTCAAAAGAAATAAAAGGAGAAGTAATAAGCTTTGCGGATGACACATTAATCTTATACTCGGCTAAAACTTGGGACGCAGTTAAAGAACTTTGTGAAAATGATTTAAAAAATGTGTTTGATTGGTTTTCGCATTACAAATTAACAATAAACATGGATAAGACATTAGCCATTCCGTTTGCAAGCTATAAAACAGGTCTTCCTAAATTGAATAAACTTACAATCATAAATCATGGACACCAAATAAATATTTTCCTCAAACATGAGGCTAAATATCTAGGAATTCATATAGATTCTCATTTGAAATGGGATAAACACATAAATAACATTGTAAATAATTTAAGACAAGTTTTATATAAATTTAAATATATGAGAAATTGTTTAGACATAACTCACCTGAAAATTTTATATCACGCATTTGTGGAGTCACGTTTATCATATGCCATATTAGTCTGGGGCTCAGTTTTGCTGACCCACCTAAAAAAACTTGAGATCATTCAAAAAAAAAATAATTAAAATAATGTATTTTAAAGATATAACTTACCCTTCAGACCTATTGTTTCAAGAAACACATATTTTTGATATTCGACAACTCTTCGTTTATAATGTTGCAAACTATCTTTACAAAAATAGATCTTCAATCTGTGGAATTGAACACACTTATGAAACTCGAACTAGACATGCAGGAAATACTAGAATTCCTATTGCCAAAAAAGCATTAGGTCAGAGGAAACTGAGTTATTTAGCAAAAAAAAATTTATAACTTTTTTCCAGATATTTACAAATTGTACATAAGGACTATAAATTCATATAATCTTTTTAAGTCTAGAATAAAATCATTTCTTAAAATTACCGATAGAAATATATTACATTCTTTGGTAGGTAGTTGTAGTTAGTTTAAAATATTCGAATTAAGTAAAAAAAAAAAATGATAAAAAAAACATTAGGTACATTACATTACTTCATAGCTATAATTTATATGTATATTATAATGCTGTTAAAAGAAAAAATTAATAAATAGAGCAAATAATTTAAATAAATTATCAAGCCCATGCACAACCCTTAGGTTTTATGGGTCACCTGTGTTTATTTACAATATTTATTATATTTGTAATTTTTATTTTAGCGTATCACTGTAAAAACAAGTTATCTGTAAATAAACATTATTATTATTATTATTATTAATAAGCGACGTGAAGTTAAATACCACACTGAATGAAATTACTTGACATTCATTACCGACACAGAACATCTTTTTCCTCAAAATATTAAGCATTTCTGGACATTCATAAGGAATCTAAAACGTGATAACGGTCTCCCTAATCTAATGGTATACAACAATATTGAATTTACTAATCCTAACGAAATAGCCAATGCTTTTGCACATCACTTCCAATCTTGCTACAATACTGTCAACGTCGCAAATTCCGCACTTCCCACTCCAGTAACTTTTGCTTCAACTTTAAGTACTCATACCTTTACTCCCCAGGAAGTTATTTCTAAAATTAACAGTCTTGATCTCAATAAAAGTGCGGGCCCTGATGGCATCCCTCCGATTTTGTTGAGGAAATGCTGTGATGCGTTGTCTGTTCCCCTTAGTCAAATTTTCCAGAAATCCTTTTTTCAGGGTATTTTTCCAGATATATGGATATTTTCCAGTCTAATTCCAATTCTAAAGTCAGGTGATAAATCTAATATTAAAAACTATAGGGGTATATCTATTATATCCACAATTCCCAAATTATTTGAATCAATTCTTACTGATGAAATAGCTGCTTCCTTCAAATCTTATATCTCCCCCTTTCAGCATGGTTTTTATCAGGGGCGTTCTGCCGCTACTAACTTTGTTGTTTCCAGGACTATCTATTAACCTCTGTGGAAGCTGGGCACCAGGTGGATGCAATTTACACTGATCTGTCTAAGGCCTTTGATAGTGTCTCTCATCAACTGCTTTAAAAAAAACTCTCCGAAATAGGTATTGCTGGTAACTATCTCAATTGGATAAAATCATACCTAACTCATCGCTCCCAACAAGTTTCTATTCATAATTTTACATCACGGAAAGTATCAGTTTCATCAGGCGTTCCGCAAGGATCACACCTTGGTCCTGTCCTGTTCTCACTTTTTATTAACGACGTAACTTCCTGCTTTTTAAATAGTACTTGTCTTCTATATGCAGATGACTTGAAATTTTTCAGCACAGTCACACATAACACTACTGCCCTTCAATGTGATCTAGAGAGACTAAACGAGTGGTGCAAGGTGAACCATCTCTCATTAAATACCAGTAAATGCAAGACCATCCAGTTCACTAGAGCGTTAACCCCTTCTCTAAATCAATACAAAATCGGTAATACTGTACTGCAAAATGTCACATCTGTGAATGATCTAAGGGTGATATTTGATATGGAACTGTCCTTTCGAGAACATATTGATTCCATTATCTGTAAAGCTTTCCGGATGCTAGGCTTTATTAAAAGAAATACTCAACATATGTATGATACTAAAGCAATCTTAACATTATTTAACAGCCTTGTTAGAAGCATTCTTGAATATTGCTCTGTTGTATGGCATCCTAATTACACCTGCCACATAGAGAGGATAGAACGAGTCCAGCGTAAATTCACTAACTATTTGCTGTTTAAACACCACTTTCCCTACCAAAACGTTGGTTACGAAAGTAGACTGCTTTTATGTGGTATGCAAAGCCTAGAAATCAGAAGAAGACATGCATTAGTTCTGTTTCTGTTTAAATTAATTAACGGTAAGATTGACTGTAGCGCCCTTTTACACTTAATTAGCTTTTTGGCACCTACTCGACGTACACGTCATACTTCATTGTTTTTCATCAGAAGACATAGAACCAACTATGGACAAAGAGCATTTATTGACCGTATGTGCCACATTTACAATAAGCTTTACTCCGACTGTGACCTATTTAACACAACGTTGTATGCGCTAAAGAGTAATTTGAAA